AAAAAAAAAAAAAAAAAAACTAAACCATAAAACCAGGTATCAATGTAGATTCGAGATTAGAGTATTTACTATGAAGAAAAACACAAAATATAGAATGCATGCGTATGCTAGTGTAAGCGTGGGGAAATACGTAGACTGTGCTGCTGTGCATGAGAATGACAAATGGAGAAGACGATTCTTAGCTCCAGATTTCAACGTTGTTGACAGTCTTCGAGAGTTGTCCTGTGTCTTGACGAGAGAAAAGAATACAAATAAATTAAAAGAGAGAAACAAAGTGGAAAACGTCAAATCCCACGTTGTCCCACTCCTACATTCCTTTTATTTTTCTTAAGTAAATAATATCATACATCTTTTAGGATTAAGGGTATTAAACTTAGTTACACACTCACCCATCCCCTTTGAGTTTTTATTATATTGTGTGCATTTCTGCATGTAATTACTTTGGTATCTGACTTCGGTCAAACTTTTCTATTAGTGTTGAATTTGCGAAAAGGTTCTTACAAAAAGTATGTTTGTTTTTGAGATTAGTCGAAAGCTTCCACAAATTTTAGAAAAGGTTAAAAAATTAGTTTGTTAACCGGTTATTTATTGAACCTGATACAATTACACCAGTAAGTGTCACCTTTGTGAAAAGTGAAAACGCAACCCTTCTCTCAATGCTTGTGAATTCTTTATTTTTAGCCAAAATAAAAAACCTTGTGAATTCTAGCCAGAATAAAAAACCTTGTGAATTCTTTATAATAGAATGTTATATCTAGTTCTCACGTTGCCATCACACAATTATATCTACCTGATATATCCACAACATAAACAAAATTCCAAACATAAAATAGATTATAGTATTTTGACATCAAATATAATAATTAATTATATAACATTGGCCATTGTTATTATTAGTTGTTGTTGTTATTTGGTTAAAACTTCAACTATCACTTACAACAATTTACGTCAAAACAAAAAAAATTCGACAAATACCTAAACTAAAGTCATTTAAACTGCAAAGTTGTGATTTTCTTCCAAAAAAAATTGTTTTCTACTTAATCATATTTTTAACACATAAAAGACATCAAATAGAGGTGAAAACTACACTACCCTTTTTTCCTCAAGATCCTTTTTTCTCTTAAGACTCGATCTTTAATTATTTGGAAAATGAATCTTTAATTATTTGAAAAATACAATAATTTACAGCCTAAGAGAAAGACGATCAAAGAGGAAAGGAAAAAAATATAAATATAAATAACACGAAGAGGAATATATAAACATATAGGGCAGGGTAGCATTGTAATTAGGGAAAAGAAAGAGTGAGTACAAATTATCATTTAATGCCTCTTTGTTCGTATTCTCTGCTACCTTCTCTCATTAATTCTCCTTCTGCTCCTCAGATTCCAACTCATTATTTTTTTATTTTTTTAACTAATTTGTTTTATATCTTGAGGTCACCAAGAAAAGACTTCGAATACTAGCATAATAGACATTCAAAGGTCTACTGATTAGACGCTTGTCATTACCTTTATACTGTTTTTTTACCACGTCCTCTAAATCTCTATCACTCTTATCATCTTTTACTTATATATTTTTTTTGTTATATACATATGGATACATTATATAAGCATAACTATATAACAATTGTATAAGCTTATACCACAAATGGATGAATTATCACCAATAAGGTCCAATATTGCTATTAATGGTAAGCTTGAATCATTAGTCCCATTATAATCTAAGAAGTGGCTGAAACGAACTATGTGGGCTTTTTATTTCTATATTTTTCCACTGGACCCATTAATATGGCCGAGTCCAAGAAAAAACCACACTCCTCATTTCTCTTTTGTTTGGCAATGTTAGAGCTAAAGCTTTTTACAAAGTTTTTTTTTTTATATTTCCACATAATTTTAACCATACAAATCACAATGTCCACATTTATATCATAACAACCAACTTAGTCTGGTTATGTTATTATATTTAACTCTAGTCATTTTCGTAATTAAGAATTTGAAGAACATTCTAAAGCATTTGGGGGATCAGATCGGACTAATGTAATATTGTCTTTTTTATTTGGCTAATTGCTATATTTTCTTCTACTTCTACTAAAATCCCAATAAAGGACGGTTATTCGGGTTTGCTCGTAGAGAAAATCGAACCGCTTTATTTATCTTTATTTGGTTTAACGAGCAGAAGCAGTTAAATCCCGACAATCTTCTCTTTTTTAAAACCTTAATCGCAATTTTTTTGGCAATTATTAGTTAAAAAAATAGATTGTTGGCCAAGATTGCGGCCATCAGTTTCACGTGATAGAGAATTTAATCTTAAAAATAACTTTATTTATAAACTACTTATTATATAAACAGTGTTATATATATAAAGGGATTTTACATTTAATATTACTTTTGCAAATGTTATTATCACCGAATATAATATGTTTATAGGACGGTGGTGAAATAAATGTCTCTTCCTCATTGGATTGGCATCTTATGATGGACCTGGATCGTATTTATTTGGATATGTGTTATGCGTGTGTATACATATATATCGGTAAGTTTAAATTCGATCCCCTTTTTGTTTCTTCCACAAAATCGAGCTCAGTCAATGTACTCGTGTCGTTTTTGAGTGAAGTTACTCTAGCCAGTCTATTGCAATCAACAGCAAAACCATTATCTGTATATATGGTTTTCATTTGTGTTTTTGGTAAAAAAATTAAAACTATATATAAACTAAATTCTTAAATATTTAAAAGCTTTGCACGCAGCAAGGCGAAGAGATTGGAAGAATATGCAAAGTACAAACAAGAAATGACAAAGGCGCCTTTAAAAAAATAATTAAACAAATATGATTTTTCGGACAGTGTTATGTTCGCTTAATTTTAGCCAAATTAAATGAACCAACAACAAAATTAAAATTAAAAAAAAACGAAACTGAACAAAGGAAAAGAAAAAAAACCGAAACTTTTGTTAAAAAGCCGAACTGAAAATCCCTACATAAAACAATAATCGTCTGCATTCAAAGAACTTGTACATGTGTAACGTTACATTTTTTCTTTAACAAAAAAGTATGATGTTACATTTTTTTGAAAAACTGAATCAAAGCCGTATCTAACCGAGCTAAATTCGATTTCTTAAGGTTGTCAGATACCAAAACCGATTAGTTTGGATATCGAAAACTGAACACCGGGCCAGATTTATTACTTTTTCTTTTTCAGGATTACTCTTAAGGGAGAGTGAAATAAAGAGAAGTAAAGAATCATCTTCACTTGCTTTCTCTTATCAACAACGGCTATATTAATGGGAAACTCGACACGTGCTCACGTCTGTCGGATGCAATACTCAGTCACACGGCTCACAACCACAAACTATTAGCCACGTTACCTTCTTGTCAACTTGGCTTTCTGAATGGTGCCAAATGGCATTGACTCAGTGGCTGATTTTGACAACTTTGATTGGCACTTGTCTGAATTCCATTGATCTAATTTATTACATTATATACCAAAAAGATTCGTCCTTCCCTTAGTGAACTCATTCTCTTCAAACTTTCTTCCATGGATTTTTTTTTCAGGTTGAAAACGGATTAATAAACCAGTTATGTTTTTTTTTTTTCCTTATGTAATTAATAGCTTGAGTAACGTTTGAACGATAAAGCTGCAATAAGATTTTCACAAATGGATGGATTCTTTTTTTAAACGTGAACGTTTTAAATTCAAATTAAGAGTAATCCCACGAAACTCATAAAATCTAGATTTTCTAACCATTAAAAAACATTTATGGTTGGCCATCCATAAATGAAATTATAGTGGAAAGACTCGAGCATTTAAATAAATTTAGAGGACAGATATGAACAAATATTAGACTACTATGGGATGGTTTTGTAGTGGTTTTATATGTTTGTTAAATCCAAAGAATTTTCTGAGAAGTATTTTACCATTACCAAAAAAAAAAAAAATCTGAGAAGGAAAGTGAACGTATGAACTTAATTAAAGTAATCATAAAAATTGTGGTCTAATCATCAGTAAATTTTGCTTTTATTATATATATATATATATCTTTTAATTACAAACTGTCAAAAAATTCCAATGGTTGAGAACTCTTCATTTTTATTTAACGAAGAAAAATAGATTAGTTTTAGTAATTATAAAACAAAAACTGAATCATAACAAATTCCTTAAAATTATCAAAATCATCTAAAATCTGAATAAAACTCAAATCTCTCCAAATGGATCACTTCAATACACCTCCCAAAAGAATCTTAAGATCACTATACTTCTTTCAGAACTTCATATAACAGTTTTAGTTGCAAGAAGTCATGAATAAAACTCATAATTAAGTTTTGTGCGTTAAAACGTGTTTCACGTCACGTACTTGACCTCTAATTGGTAGCGTGTGACCTCTCTCTTTTTTAATGATTATAATATATATTTATATATATATAAATATTATCTTGACTAAAAGGCCTTGCAGTCACATGTTCAATGATGATATATATTAATCTGCGTGTTTGAACATAGTACAATGATCATATAAGCTGGCAGAGATCTATAGAAAAAAATTGCATTTTCTTTATATATTTTTAGTATATTAAACTTTCTACAAAGGTAACACATAGTCGAACAAAACGATACACAACGAATTGAGCATTTATGTGAAGAAGTCTAGACGGAATAAATGTTGCTAAACAAGACTTTCATTAGACCAGCTAATATTAATCTTGAAAACTAAAAATAAAATAGTTGGAAAATATTATCAGTAGTTAGATGATTAGTTCACATCGAAACGAAATACGACTCAAACTGAAAGAGACATGAGATAACTCGTGTCGAGCCACAAATTCTGGAGCTATATTTTAACCTAGAGTTATACCAATAGTTTGCAGGTCAGAAAAATGATTATTATTTTCTTGGTTAAATAATGAAATTTAGCCTTTTTGCAACAAAAAACATTTTCCACACAACCAACACGCACAGTAACTCTAACATATATAAAGAGGCCAATATCACTAACACAGATATTCTAAACAAAATAAAATCCCAAATCTTCTCTCCTTGTCAAAACCAAGAAACTTCCAAGATCTGTTGAAAACCATGGAAGAACGAGGCCTTTTCAATTGCCGCTTCAGCGAGATTAATAGTGGCATGACCATGAATAAGAAGAAGATGAAGAAGAGCAATAATCAGAAGAGGTTTAGTGAGGAACAGATCAAGTCACTTGAGGTTATATTCGAGTCCGAGACGAGGCTCGAGCCGAGGAAGAAGGTGCAGTTAGCTCAAGAGCTAGGGCTGCAACCAAGACAAGTGGCGATATGGTTTCAGAACAAGAGGGCTCGTTGGAAATCTAAACAGCTTGAGAAAGAGTATAGCATTCTTAGAGCCAATTACAATAATTTGGCTTCACAATTTGAAATCATGAAGAAAGAAAAGCAGGCACTGGTCTCTGAGGTAAATAATTCTATTGATATCTTTTTCATTAATTAATTATAAAATTGAAACGCAAATTGAACAAATTGATCTAATGACAATTTGATATGTTATTTTCCTTAAATTATTTTTGCATATTCTTTTTAAATAAATATAATATTTTTGCATATATTCTTATAAAAATATATATTAGACGGTTAATACAATGTTTCAGGGGAAGATCAGGGTGACAAAACATCGATATATAAAAAAGATTATAGAAGCAAGGAAAATATGATTGATGAATTTTGTTACCTGATTTAGTCTTTCATTGAACTCTACGTGCAGTTGCAGAGACTAAATGAAGAGATGCAAACGTCAAAAGAAGAAAGGCATCATCCTGAGTATTGTGGTGATCAAGGAGTGGCTCTAAGCAGCAGCACAGAGTCAGATAATGGAAAGTGTGAGCTAGAAGTTAGGCTAAATCAAGGGGTTGTGATGTGTAATGACGACATTAAGACAGAGTACTTTGGATTCGAGGAAGAGACAAATCATGAGCTCATGAACATTGTAGAACAAGCTGATGATAGTTGCTTGACTTCATCTGATGATTGGAGAGGTTTCAATTCTGATTCTCTTTTAAACCAATCTAGCAGCAACTACCCTTGGTGGGATTTTTGGTCATAAAAAAAGCATGAATGAAGAGAAAGAGTGTGTACAGCTTTGTAGATTTGTGTTGAAGAAAAATAAATTTTCTTTTTCTTGCAACATTATGTATAAGGTATGTTATAGTTGACGATTTTATAAAATTGGAATAAAGTTCAGTAGATTGGAAAACGCTGTTTCTGTTTTAAGAGTTTAGCATCAGGGTGCCGAGTTTAGTTTAGTAACAAACAATAGTTTCGTACCAAACCGCGTTTTTTAGTTAACCGAACCGGGTTTAAATGACACTGAAATTGATAAACTCTAAACCCAAGAAAGAGAAGATGGGAAGGAGGAGGGCATTTACTTAAGCTAAATATTTGAAAAAAAAAAAATCCGCAAACATTCAATTGAAGTCACACACGATTGATGATATCACCGAGGTCAGTTTCACTTTCTTCAACTGTGCGAGCATTTTTTATTTCAGTACTTTGTGGATAGTGCATTGCAGCCAATGAGTAGGGACAATAAACATCGTTTTAGATTCACATAAGAGAATGGAGAGCTCTTGAATATGCAGCATTTGTTCGGTTTATCAGGATCGAATAAACTCTTCGCTGTTTATTGAATACAATTCGGCTTTCCATGTCTTTTTAGAAATCATTTGTCTCTTGTAATTGCACTGATTCTCCTGTCATATGCTTTCTAGTTATTAGTGGCGTCAGCTTATGTCTTTATGCGCAGACGGTTGAGTAAGAAAAGTTGTTTAACCAATCCTGTCACCGGAAGAACAAGCTCCAGGTACTAAGTTTCTAAGACACATACTTCTTCTGACTTCTGTTCTGTACCGCATAATTGTTCACGTTCATTTGAATTTCTATCATTTCAGGAATTCGGAATCAAACTTAGAATCGGGGTTAAAGCTTAGAAATAGACTGCATTTTCACTTTTTTTTTTTGGTGGCTTGTTGCCAAACAGCTGGTGAAGTGATAATCAATCAGACTATGATCCTTATCGTTCATGTGTAATTGCACATTTATCTGATTCCAAACCGACATGATTGGCTTATGGCTATGACCTGGAAGAAACTAGTTTCCATGTTTTAATCTTTTTCCAAGGTATCAATCAGTTTCCATGTTTTAACAATATTGCTCTGTCCTCCAAAGATTCAAAGGTTCACTTTTGGTCCATCCAGATGCGATAGCGTTCTACGTTTCTGACAACAAGGTGATTTTGACTCAAGGTAATATTGTATAGCTCCATAAGGTTGAGTCTTGGCCTAATTGGCAACCAATAACTTTCTGATTTGTATACTTTAAGAACTCTGCAACTTTTTGGTGGTGGACGAGACATCACTGCGGATACTTTAAACGATGTATAAAAGAGAGAGGAAAAAAGAAAACAGGTTTATCCTTGTAACTAACCAAAAACAGAGAATTTTAGTCACAAATAGAAACTCTTATTTTCTTTTAAGTCTCCCGCCGGCGACTGTGCTAAATAGAATCCAGAACCCTAACTATATATTGCCTTCTATCTTACGGCGCTTCGTTTTGGTTCCAAAATCCATTATGGGCCTTTAAGCCCATAAAATAAATCTTCAACTAAACGACGCCGTGCGCTGGAGCAAGGAGAGGTCTTTTTAAGTGCCGGGAAGTTAGGGGAAAGGCTAAATCCCATTATAAGATAGTGAAACCGAAGCTTATGTACCCTCAGATTCAGACTGATCATCACTTATTCACCTCTATGACTTCTTCTTTTTTTTTCTTTTTTTTTTTAATCTTCGAATCGATTCGAGATCTTGGGCCACTATTGCTCTACATTGGATAAATAAGTGAATAACATATTAAAACCACTATTAAAGTCTAAAAACTTACACATTTTGACGTGGCTAGACTCTCAGTAAATGAGCCTTTTACTAGATGAAAATATATTTGCGTGTTTTGTACAAATAGAAATAACACAAATATCTGTGGTGGGAAATGAGCAATTTGACCTACTATAAAAAGAGGGAATTTGACCTACTATATAAATTAACATACATTCTTATTTTTGGTTAATACGGATGTAGGTTGATTAGTTGTTTTTCTACTTTGATAAACTCCAAAGTTCAAGATTCTTTATGTTATATTACTTTTTTTTGCTTTTTCTAGTGATAAAGACTGTCGAAAGTTTCTGATTCAACTCCAAGATTCGACATGTTGTTGATTTTAATTGATTTTCAAATTCCGAATATATATGACTCGGTAGTAAAGGTTATATGATAAACCTCAAACAGTGATTTGGAACGATATGAAATTTTGTGAATAAGATTGCATAGATCATCGAATCCATTATAATTCAAGCTAAGCAAAAGTGGGTTAGGCCATCGAATATATATATATATATATATATAATATCCGCTTGGACCATGAAAGAAGAGAATTCACCACTTGGACCATCAAAACCTTTTGTTAAATCAATGACGACGATACAAAATATTTCTATATCTTATAGAGGGCAGCTGCCCCCCTCCTTCCTCTCTGCCCCCACATATATTTCATTATTTGGCCATCATTGAGACGATATTTTTATTTTTCTGCAACTTGTAAACTAAAAGTGTTGTTAATTTAAGGAAATTTCTGTATCGAACGTATGAAATACATTCTTCCTCAACTTTTCATTCTTTTTTCATTCGTCGTTCGAGTTTATGTTTTGAAAACCATGCATGTTGTGTTAGCACCAAGGAACGGGTGTCTTGTGAGGTTTTACACGTTCTAATTAAGCTAATTTTGTATTTTTTTATGGTGCGCGTGTATTTCAATCATACGTTATAAATAACTGCATCGTATAGTCTTAAGGGTATACATGCACACTAAATCTATGATATGTTAGCAAATATATTCCCACCTATAAGTATACTGTATACGTATAACATGATGAGTGAATAGCAATAACACTAACTAATATTTTTCCATTATAGCTGATTAATTTAATGATGGTTTATTTTTGTCCAAACTCAACGTTTTTGAATTTTGAATTGGTGTCCTTTGATATCTAACAAATCCGTAAATATATTCTATAAAAAAATCTGCAGCAAAAGTATTTGCATCTTTCTTTTTTTACATATTTACGTCTAAATATAATTTATATTATTGTATGTTTCCACTAGCTTCATATAGGACTCAAGCTGTATTAAATGTAGACAAAATATAACTGTAACGAATAGAAAACCTAAAAATTTGTGAAAAAAGGTACTGATTAATGGACAACCAAATATGAACACGGTTTTAGAATAAAACATTGCAAAAAAGAAAAAGAAAAAAACATTGCATAAATGTTAGATACATAGTTTCAATATAAAAAATGATAACATATATTACAGAGAACAAAATACTGTATATGCTTAATATTATATAATATTTATGATATGGTTGGATCCAATATTCCTTGATCTTTCAAAAAAAAAAAAAATTATTTGATCGGATATTAAAACCAAATCAAGAGATTATTTTATATCTCTAAGATTAATATTCCCACATTAATTGAGAAATCAATCAATTGGCATTAATATATGCAAAAGATTAGCCAACTTTCTAAAGTACAAGGATGATGTGTACCTAGCTACGACGGTCCACTAAGATATCATATGTTATATATAACAACAAAAGCTAATTACCCTTTGAAAGACATATAGTTCTTGGTTTAAATAGTTGAATCACTATCTAATCATATATATGATTATGTAATCATATCACCAACAAATTAGGGAATCCGTGCAATTTGCTCGCTGATTTAGTCACCTTTTGTAAAAGTATATCGTTTTACACAAATTTGTTAATTATATAGCTTACCCACCAAACCCCAGTTGAAATATAATTTTGCTTCTTATGCTATCCGTGTACCAACTTGACTATGAATATCCTGATTTTTCCGGTATTGGTAGTTTTGTGATCATCATTTTATAGCTTGTTGACAAAACAATATAATAAAACAATAACACTAATTTCAACTAGTATAAATTTTAACAGTTCTAAAGTAACAATATAATAAAACAGTTTGCACATATATGTATGGCTTTCGAATTAGAATCATAACAGATCAATAAACTATTGTTCAACTAGAGACTAAAGTGGTTACTACTTACTGGTTAGTGTTGGCTAATAAAGTAATAATCAATAACCTATAATCTACCTTAACGTATTTATGATTATTATATATTCACACTTGCAAATAATGAAATCATGGTCCACAGTGAAAATGAAATTAGACAGGAAAACATTTAACAACGATTTAGATTAATTTGCCCCTTCTAAAAGGGCAACGAACACACATTTATCATGTAACATTAAGTTCTATAAATTGGGACGTGTCCCCCTAATAAATTGACATCTTTCGGACAAATTAATGGACATAATTGCAATGATGTCCTCTCGTTTTTAGATGATGACAAAACGTTTACTTTAAATTTAACGTTGGTCCATATGTTTCCATATTTGTTGATGGTAATTAGTTATATGGCACAGGCGAAAATTGGCTAGTGGAGATTATCTAATAACATGTCTCTCAATATGTTCTTATGAATAGTAGTTATTGGGTGGAACGTTGCAATCTGCATCTTTATTTGTTGACGCAATTCATCTCCAGTCTTCGGTTCTCACCTTATTATCAATTGCTCACCTTATTATCAATTGCTCGGTCAAATATTGCATATTGATATGCCGAAAACAAAAACAAAATGCATATTGATAATGCAACTATTCAAGAATTATATTAACTCGATATATTCATATTGTTTGTGATAACCTGAAAGATGTCTTAATTTTTTGTAAGTTTTTTTTGTTGAAAAATATTGCATATTGATAATGCAAATATACAAAGAGTTATACTAACCCAATTATTTATATCCATATTGTTTTTGATAACCTGAAAGATGTCTAAATTTTGACTCGAGGAAATCTACAAGCTGTGTATAATTGGGGAAAAGTATCGACATATATAATTGAGAACTATTTATGTCAAATTCAAACTTTTTTTTTTGGTAAAATATTATGTGAGATTTCAAAGTAAATTGAATTGTTTTCTTAATATGTGTGAAAAACCTTTATATATATATGAATATGACTAATAATATGAAACAGATTGGATTA